AGTGTTGTCGGTTTGTATAAACAGTGAATACCAGAAATTATTTTTGATTTAATGCTGTTGCCATTTTCTTCTAGTATGAAATTAATTTGCTGTTTGGTATCTTTTAATATATTAAAATATTTATAAACCAGTAGTAGATTTTTATCATGTGAAGTTAGGATGTCATCGATGTATGCTAAATAGAAAGCATACAGAAAGGTTACGTCTCCCAGCGGCCACACTTCACAGGTATCATTAAAGAAAGAAATTGGCTGAACAGATGAATCAAAAAGACACTAATTATCCAATCCTTCGAAAATGTCAACTAGGACAAAAGATTCAGTGTTTGAACGGATTGGACAAGCCTTGTCAAGCTCATTACCGAGAAACTACTTAACCAGCAGCATGAAGCAAAGGCACTGCTGGTGCCAAACGTCACAAAATCTATGGACCATAAAACTAACCGCGGAAATCAACTCTGTCCACCCAGAAGACGGCTTGTGAGACGTCGGTCCTTGTTAATCACCGGATTGATCGATTTCCGTATGCTGTGTATGAATACACCGTGATTTTTATACAGTTTTCAGTGTGATCACCAACGCATCAACGAAATACTACAACGAAGCTTCGAAGCACTTAAACGTTCACTTCATCTGTTATGGCGCATGACCACAGTAGAATACCATGCGTTCCTATTTTTTGCAAGTCATCGAATTGATACCCGTTTATCGACCGGTTATACACCATTGCAAAGTGGGCTTACTTCCTTTGCTCAAGCGAATTCGCGAATAAGACAACGGCTGTCCCTTCATCGAACTCGAACTACTTACCACGAGTTCAAAAGTAATTTCCTTGCCATTGCGCCACCACGCCAGTCAGATATTAATCATACCAGACTTCAAATACTCATGCTTGATAATCATATTTATTCAGGTTGCTGAGGTTATAGTTGACGCTTTCTTGCACTTGGATTCCGTACCGCAGAACCATTAATGGTAAAGACTCAGTCACGATGTTGTCTGATGATGGCACGACATTCAGGATATACGGTATGGGCTGACATACATTATAATACAAACATCGATTGAGTCTTCGCACTAGACTACCTCACCGATTCATGGAAGGTGCTGAGCGAGAGTCGGCTGGCGTGATTTGATTATCTGTACCGAGCCGGTGAAGTCTCACTGCCGTTTCAACTGCTGACATGGGAACCTGAACACTGACTCCGAAAAATCGGTGACCATGACATTATATGTCGAAGGAAACTAAATGGAGATTTGTCATAGATGAGAAATCTATGCTTCATCGGCGCAATTGACAGCTCCTAACATCAAAATGCGATAATCCGACATCACAAGTATTGAGGTGCCTGTAGGTTTCCAAGAACTCTTCGCTGACCATGACAGACATAAAAATGCACGCATACATCCGTCCATTTTTCCGCAGTTAATGAAGGACCGCATCTTGCCCAAAAGGTCGAAACCTGACGGCGAAATCATGGATTAGTTGTTTACTTTGAACTGTTGCGGTGTCCCACATTGACCTCCAGTTGTAATGGATCAAACAGGCATGCGATTTCGCATTTAATCACTACAGTTGCTTAACAGATTCCTTATGTGCCTAAAGCATGGTAACATTGCAACAACCCTGAACATCTCGGATTTAGCGGTGGGATCGAAAAGGTTTTTTCAGTAGTCCTAATGTAACAGACTTATTTTTATGTATATATTTGCGAAAGAACCTGCGGGCATCTTGTGTTGATATTGATTGCGTTCAGAGATAAGCAAGTTGATGGGATCGTCAGCTTGAACCGTGCTCATATACATAATTTATTTTTTATGATTATTATTGTTGATTTTAGATCGCATTTCTCTAATTCACCATCAGTGTGGCATCTCAAATGAGCAAGCATCAAGATGTCTTCTCAAAGGGACGAATTTGCTGACTTGGAAATGAAGTACGGAGGTGACGGTATGAAAAAGAAGAAACGGTCGAAAATGAAAAGTGCTGACAGGTATGCATTAGTAGAAGAGTCTTCAAAGGTGAATAATGGTTGTTCTGTCGTTTCATTTTGTTAAACGTGACGTTGAAGGAGTCGACTGGCAGTTCCAGGATTGGTCGAAAGAAGACGGTAACAGTTGATTTAGAAGATCCCCATCAACTAAGGTTCATTATTCCGGGTCGCGTCAAATGCGACTGTCAAGCATCTGCGCATGGTCTTGTCAACAACTGCCTGTCATGCGGACGGATTGTATGTGAACAGGAAGGATCTGGTCCGTGCTTCTTCTGCGGTTCACTGGTAACAATGTGGTTTTATATATTTTGTTGTCTATACAGTATTTACTTGATTTGATTATTGCGTGATTATTTGATCATGGTTTATTCAGTGCCTTGATCTTCAGGATCTTTTTAAATGAGGCAAAGAAATGTGGTCCATACCAGTAAGGACTGAATTGCGAATTTTAATTTATGCCGGTGTGACCTTGTCCGGCACATATTTATTCAGTAAAATGGCTACCCGCTGAAGATGCCAAATGAAGGTGTGGTAAACCTATCAAAACCACTCGTCTCTCGCTGCACATAGCGAGGTTTGCATCTCCTTACAATACGTTTGTAAGCCGAGTGAAAGTTATTGTACAGCGTGTTGCTTTTAAATCTGTTCTGAACATTGTGTTTAAACCTGGTACAACGCTTCGCAGCCGGTTTAACAGACCCCAAAGAAACAGAAGCACAAGGAATGGGTGTACCGTATGCATAAGCGAAACAAACAACATACTTGAGCAAAGGAATACTGAGCACAGAAGAAGTCTAATCAGATTGAACAACTCTGATGCCACTGTAAAAGGTATGAAACAGTAGGCACAGGACAGACACAAATGAAGGATCCCAGGATTATAAAAACTGAATGCGAAAAAGAACTCTGATATAGTAAAATATGCTTTAAATTATTAGCATAAGATATCTTGGGACAAAATGAAAAGCGTCGCGCAATAAAAGCACTTTTTCATTCGTAAAGTCAGG